AATTACTGACCTCTGTCATCATTTTAAGTGGGGGAACTTGCACAATCGGTGGCTGACTAAATACTTTTTTGCCCCACTGTATAACAGGCTGTTGGTCAATTTCATAAATAAACATAGAGCACTTAAAACAAGTGAGTGTGAAGCCTAATTGGTGGCAGTAACAGTCTGAGTTTCACCTCACAGGTTCCGGCAGTCTACAGAGTATTAGAGGGATTGATGAGCGTTAAATCCATGTATACTGAAGCAGACTATGCCCTTTATGGAACATAGGATACAAAAAGTAAATTTGCAGCGCTGCAGAAGTAATAGTTATCTAGAAAGCTTAATTTTTATTATGTCATTACTCAGTTTCACTTCTAATGTGTTTCTATATTGACTGCAAATAGTTTTTTAAGCCATTTAAAACAAAACAATCATTCTGTACGACCTCTAATGTGTTTAAAATCATCTCTCAAAGCTGTTAGAATTATGGTTTTAATACATAAAACAAAAAGAAAAAAATAGCCAGGCCGTAGAAGTCAGATAAGGTGTTGACTGGGCTTGGCTTGTTATACCCATTCACTGAAATCACGTGTGTCTGTGATCTGTCTGTAGGAGCTCACTCTCACACTGCTACGGCAACAACGTTTAGCACAAATACAACTGAAAGATGTGACAACGCTGTACTGTTTCTTAGTAATCTGGCAAACAAACTAAGCAATCTTTAACAGAAGTGGTATTCATAGAACCCATCTCAACTTCCCTTTTTCACTTGTTTAGCCACCATTAAAGGCTGTGAAGGTATAAGCACGTCATTTCTCACCATAGTTTGAGGCTTGCTGAGTGCCATGTGTGCTTGGACAACCTCTAACATATGAGAGGTGATTTCATTCATATCCTCCAGGGGCCTGACGCTGAATGCCACAACAGACCTGTGGTTCTAAGAAAGGAAGGCACAAAAAAATAGACACGCCATCATGAATTCAGAGAGGAACTAAAGCGAGCAACATCCACTTCAAGTATTTCAAGTGACGAAACAAATCTATGTTGGTAAAGGTGTAAAAGCCTTCTTTAGTGGAGCCCAAGTGTAATTTAGACACATGTTAGACACATGTCACACACACACACACACACAAAGGTCAATAAATGTTTAAATGTGAACAAGATTAAATATGAGATTGTCAAAAATGTTTGTGCATTGAGAAATCATACAGCCGCTTGAAAATTTTACATTGTCATGTAGCCTTTCAATGAAATCATGATGCAAGTCATAAGTTCCTTTTTGATTCTGGGTACTGTGCAAATGTTGTTAGCATTTACTTTAAATGAACCATTTCCAATTGATTCAAAGTCTGTTTGTGTGTGTGTGTGTGTGTGTGTGTGTGTGTGTGTGTGTTTGGTTATCCGCATGCAAATATATTCTTTTTTTATTTAATTTTACAATAAACCTCACTGATAAATAACTAACTCAGCAATATCAGCTGCTGGTGAGTCTCATCCAGTTGTTGGAACTCCAGCTGGCTGTTAGTTCTCTTTCTGCTCTTTAGGTTCTGTGAGCTCACTGGAGCAGCACATGAGCCATTACTCCACCAGCTGCAGTTAACAATGGAGCAGGAATCAGTCTGGCTGCGGGAAGCAGCTGATTGACTTTGAAGAACGCCAACCCAACCACCAAGTAAGCTAGTAGAGCAGGGCCTCAAGTGCCGGTGTCCTGCAGGTTTTAGATATGACACCTGAATCAAAGGATTTATTTCATTACCAGGCCTCTGGAGAACTTCAAGACGTGTTGAGGAGGCAATTTAACCATTTAAATCAGCTGTGTTGGATCAAGGACACATCTAAAACCTGCAGGATGTGTCCTCTCTGGAGGACATATCCTGAGGCCTGGAGTTGGACACCCCTGTAGTAGACGGTGGACGGGGTTTGATAGCAACCACACTTTTAAACTAATAAGCGGTCATAGGTGGCAGATATTAAACTCACCTGAAAAGAGCGCAGATTTCCAGATACTTTGACATATGTTCCTGGGGGAAGGACAGTGCTGTCCACACTTTGGTCCTGTATAAATAAAAAGCACATACTTGATCCTTTTCATCCAATTCCAGTTAATTTTCCTTAGGATTTGTGTTACTACTGCCCTTTCCTCTTGGCCTTCTACTTAAAGAAATGTAATGCTAAACAGATATTATAGTATAGTAGCTTTCTCACTATGTAATGGAGTTTATATACACATAATTACCTCATGTTTCAATACAGACTGAGCTTGCAGCAGAGCTGTGATGGTGGATACTTACCTCTGTGTCTACCCACTGCTTCACATCCATGGGAGCGCCTGTCATGTCATCAACCTTGTACTGGATGTTGGTCATGGATTTATCTGTGCTTCTGATGACCCCCACAATGGTGACCTATGACACAGACCACAATTATTATGAAATCTGGAAATATTAGAATAGTTATTACGTCCATGTTGCAAAATGAACATAAAATGATTTAAAATTCTGCATTTTGTCTGACTGTTAGATAGATGTTTATTTTAAACATTTAAAAGGATAAAAAAATAGTACAATCGACATAGATGGATATTCAACATAATTTCTGTAAACAAAGGTAACTTGTATTTAAAAGGGAGTGTAAAGCTGCGGTTGTTCAACTGCAGAAGTAAAAAAAAAAAAACCTGTATTACAGAGTACCAAACTAATGCTATTAAGAGATGAAAAAGTAACTGGTTAGTGAACTAAATGAATGGTTTGGCTCACCTGGGCAACATCCACATCTCCTACTCTGAATGACTCATCGGCTTGGGAAGCAGACATTAGCTGAGACACTGTGCAGGGGATTATTTGGTTGGCACGTGTTCTCTGCAAAGACATCCACCCAAACACAAATGGGTTAACTGTCGTGCAGCAGAGACCTGTCATTTTGTGCTTCCATCGCTATACAGAAGTCAACATGTGTACAAAGAGGGGATGTCTCATTTGGCAAATGAAGGTATGGTGTTGCTGGTTTTCAGCACAATTTTTACAGATTTATTTCTGTGTCAAGTCTTTAGTGAATTATTCCGACTTTTAAGTGTAGATATAAGTACAGACCCCCTTTTTCTCTCCCCCCTGGGATAAGGCAGGTGATGCAAATCCTCCTGGAGACTGAGTGTAGCCCCCAGCCATACTGGACTCACTGTACCCTCCTGAAAATGTATAAAGAGGTAAACAACTGTGTCATTGAAATCGTTTATTAAACATGATCTTCATTTGACCCACCTTCACTTACATTCAACACACAATAACAAAGACGTCTGTAGTCAAGCTAACGTGGACCGAAACAACACAGCGACACCGAGCCCATATGGCTGCTATATAAACACAACGGTGTCGAAATACAACTCACCCTGATTCCACATGCTTCCGCTGTTTGTTTAACTTTTTAAACTAAGGTGTAAAATGTTACGTGCAGTAAAGTATGTAGCCAAACGTATTTCTCTGGTCCTCTTCCTCGTTTAATCCCGCGCGCAAGCTTCAATGTACAGCGCAGGCGCACAGCGGAACTCCCGCGAAATCTATGATGACGCAGATCTTCCAAGTGAGGTAATTCAGCCCTAACTTTTGGTTGTCAGGCTATCCTTCCTCTTCTAGTGCCAAGACTGACCAATGCAAAAGCACAACTCTGGTCCCAACTGTTTAACATGTACTAACATTATTATTATTATTATTATTATTATTATTATTATTATTATTATTATTATTGGCTATATTACATAATGAAGCAGTCCATAGCCTGGGAGTTACGTCTGCCTGAAAGAGAAACATCAGGGAATGATTTTGAAAGAGTCCTAGGGTTGCTTTCCTGAACTTTCCGAAGCACTACGTGCTCACGCGCGTTTTTGCGGCTTTGCAATTGCTATAATAAATCATTTCCAAAGAACATTTGCAAACCCATAGCTGCGTTTATCAAAAACAGACAGACAATGCAAAATTTCCAACGATGATTAACTACTCTTTTCCCCAAAATGCCCCTTTACTGTAAAGAGAAATAAGCGAAACAAATAATAACAAAACCAAAACAAAGCAAAACAATTTTTATTTGCATCATCAGCTTGAGAAACAGATTCTCCACAGTTATAACAGCGTCGATTTGGGGAAACACGAGTATCACGCAAGGGCACCATGAATAAAATCCTTTTGTATTTAGTGAAATATTACAGTGTAACAGCGAAAACATTCGCACGTAGATGTGTTTTAATATACTGTGTCTATATACTCCTGCTATGAATGTATGTATATTTATTGGATGCTTAAACAGCGCATGCCCAAATAAGGTAACTGTAAAAGGTGGTCTACTAAATTTAAATTTAGTCCACATAAAAATAGTCTAGGCGTAGTCTACAAGCAGGAATTCGACTCTTAAATAGCTTCATAGATAAGTGTGTATAGAGTTTTTCTCAGCCGAAGCTTTTTATTGTCTTTAGATTTATTTTGATACTTATTTTTATTTAATTGTATGCAGGCTAAAACGTAGTCTTGCATCACAGGGTGACGGTTGAACTTCATTACTGATAGCGAAGTATCACCTGCACATAGGGATCCAAACACCTTCAAGCCTCAGACGCGTCATGACAAGTCGTATCTTATCATGATTTCGCCTTTATAGACTTACGGCATACCTTTTAAACCAGGTCTTGATTTTTGTCGGATGTTTCGTCCTCTCAAAGTCTTCGACATGTCGGCAGTATGGCTGCTTCTGTCTTGCTTTCTTTTTAAAGAGGCTTTTGCGCTCTCGGGTAAGCATCAGATAAATCAAGTATATATCTTAATCTCGGAGTAACTTACTAGATGCCATTACGCATCGTTCTTACACAGGGAACTTTTGGCACATCACGGATCTCCACTGGGACCCAACGTACGAACTGAGCAACAACAATCCTGCACTGGTGTGCGCATCCAGTGGAAAACGACCTGCAGCCAATGCTGGTAAATTTGGACACTATGTTTGTGACTCGCCATGGCACCTGATCAACTCTTCTGTTTATGCAATGAAGAGTATTCTACCAAACCCGGACTTCATCGTATGGACTGGGTATGTTACTTTTTTTTTTAATGAATATTGCAAGACAGTGCTAGTCTCAAGACTATATCTGGGGAAAGAAATGCTTGTTTGCCTTTACAGTCATTATCTTTTCAGATTAGTATTTGGTATTGACATAATGTTTGACTGTAATTAATCCTGAAACAATCTGCTGTGTTACTTCTCAGTGATGACACTCCACATGTTGATAATAAAGATCTGGGAGAAGAGGCAGTGCTCAACATTATCAACAACCTCACTGACATCATAAATCGAGTGTTTCCAAGTAATTACAAAATCAGGCGGAAACATGCAAGGGCAACACATACGACAGTGTTGGCTACTTCTAATAAATAATGTCTTTTATACATTATTGTCTTGTTTAGACACTAAAGTGTATTCAGCCCTGGGGAACCATGATTACCACCCGAAGAGTCAGCTTCCTGCAGCCCCAAGCTCTATGTATGACCGAATAGCAGAAATGTGGCAAGGCTGGTTGGATCCAAAGTCAAAAGAAACATTTAAAAAAGGTGAAGAAGGCTTTCTCTAATAGTTACAAATATATGTGCAATTACTTTCCAAAAAATGAATACATCAGCTTATGATGCACAGGAAAAATTTAAACACACATTATCTGGGATGTGCCTCTTGCACAGGTGGATACTACACAGAAAAGCTCATGAATCAGACTGGTTTCAGGATGCTGGTCCTTAACACCAATCTCTACTATGATCAGAACAAGCTGACCACGAACATGGATGACCCAGCGGACCAGTTTAGTTGGTCAGATCAGATTCTTACAGAGGCAACCAACAACAAAGAGAAGGCAAAGTATCTCATCTTGTTCATGGATGTTTGGATGTTAGGGACTAGAGCTCAGTAAAAGATGGTGTTTGTAATGAAAACAATCCCTGTATAAGCAATTGCCCCTCCAAAAAAGAGATTCGGTCCTGATTGGATTTTAGTTAACTCTGTATTGTTTGATTTATCAGGTTTACATCATTGGCCACGTTCCTCCAGGTTTCTTCGAGAAGAAAAGAAGTAAACCATGGTTTACACCAAAGTTCAACCGGCGATATTTGGATTTAATTAAGAAGCATCATTCTGTCATAAAAGGCCAGTTCTTTGGCCATCATCACACTGATAGCTTCCGTATGTTCTACAACACAGAGGGTAAGCCACACTGCAGTAATAGTACTCATTTCACCTTGTATTAGTATTACCTGTTTATCACTTAGCCGGAATGCGTCTCCGATATCCAGCATTAACATTAACACACACTAATACTGTTGTTATCAGAGCTGATATCTTGTCCATTTCTACAGGTTCTCCCATTAGTACCATGTTCCTCAGCCCTGGTGTCACACCGTGGGAAACAACACTTCCTGGAGTTAAGGATGGAGCGAACAATCCTGGGATTCGTGTCTTTGAATATGACACAGAAACACTGCTAGTCAAGGCAAGTTTTGGCCTTTACAATTTTCATTAGACATTTATGTTCCTCTAGCGGTGTAGTGGTTAACATTTGCTTGGCAAGTGAACGGTTGCTAGTTCATTATCAGCCAGATACAAAAATCCCCTTGTATTGTAGCTCCAGAAAGACCATCCGGTGTAAAACTCCGCCAAATCAAACATGTGAAACACTCCTTGTGGCAACGGGGCAGTCAAAAGTAGCAATTAAGAGCCTAAAAATAGGCTCTTATGCAACTTATATAAATATATATTTGTATTTTAAAAGATTGTAAAACCTTCAGAAATATCTTGTAATGCTTCTATTGTTTGCTTTCTGTGTTTAAACCACATGCTTTCTTTCATGCAGGATGTGGTGACCTATTACCTGAACCTTACTCGTGCTAATGTAGCCACAGGACGCTGGGAGAAAGAGTATCGCCTCACAGAGAGTTTCAGAGTACCAGATGCCTCTCCAGCCTCCATGCACGAGGTTCTAAAGCGTGTAGCTGATGACCCCCGCTACCTGCAGAAGTACTATGATTTCAACTCTGTGAACTATGACCTGAGGGATTGTGACAGCGACTGCCGCGTTGACCACGTGTGCGCAGCACGAGAGGTAGACTTTGACAGGTATGAACACTGCCTCGTTAAGGAGGGGGCAGTTTTCATCTATGGTGGCCTCCTGCCACTCATCTCCGTGGCTTTAAGTCTGGTTGTGGCCCGTGAGTAATTAATTCAATACTATTTTGAACTATAACTAACTCTGAACTCAGTATGGGTTTATTGTTTCCCTAAACCAACATATAAGCTTTCTCTCTCAGAATTTATAAATATGCAATAATCTTTTGTTTCAAAAGTCTATAAAAATCATGTCCACACGTGTATCACTGACCTATTCAGCAATGCAAACTCCCCCTCTGACTTTCCGACTGGCTGTATGACATTCCACCTTAAAAACTGCACACTTTTAGCAGAGGAATCTGAGCATAGCTTTCTGGTGTCGACATTTGTAATGAATTTCATTCTTTAAATTAGAATTCAAGAGAGACATCAAGTAGCAGGAAGTATTTGTTTTAAATGTCACTATTTAACATGTAGCACTATAATAATGCATTTTCATACTTTCAGTTATATTACATCTATAAATGAATTGAGTCATGCTCCAGTGTGTAATTAAACTATGGAAAAATGCAACCTTTGTCTTCAGTAATCTTTGGTGTGCCCCTTGACCTTGATTTATGGGTACTGGCTGAATACTTTGTTTCAAAACTACACAATATTCTTGTGCCTCTAAAGGTCAGCTACCATAGTTTTATTTGTGTAAACTCTACTGTTTCTTGTTGTCAATCCAAAACTCAATCTTATGAATTTCATGCACATTAGCTAAAAAAATCGATTAAATCAGGATTTTATATATAATAAATGTCTTAACATTACTTTCATTGTCCATGCAACTTCCAAGCAAAGCAATCAGTTTTGAAAATATTATAAGATAAAGTTGTATTATCTGTGTTCTGTGATAACTCCTGGCATTTCATATCTTGTTATAATGACTTAATAATCTTTTGATAGCTGCCTGTAAACGCTGTAAAGTGTCACTACAGAACATGACGGACGCTGGACTTTGAGCCTCATGTGAATACACTTTTATTGAGAATGTGGATTTGTTTGACATATCAGCAAGAATGTCACAGCTCTCTGGTTTCACCCAAATATGCATGCAGTGTTCTTAAGCATCCGGTGGTTAGTTGACACTCAGCTAGTTCACATGACCAAAACCTGTTTAGTTGATATGAAAGGCTGCATAGCAGTATCCAGAGCTGCGTGATACTGCTGCAGACCCACCTCAGTGCAGGCGGGAGCTGTCAGCTTTCCCTGCTTGATGAGGGAGCACAGTTCATCCAGCATGGCTCTAAATGCCCTTCCATCTAGGAAAAACAATATCCCAGGGAAATGTTTATCTTTTTTAGATTAATTTCAAACAATCTGAAACTCCATGCCTACTTACCATGAGAGTGATCTCTCTTCCACTGTGTTACCCAAAATCCTCGAACCTTCACATCTTTGAAAATAAGAGCACTCTAGAAAGAGCAGCAACAACAGCAAAAAAATACATCAACATACAATATTTCACATTTGTGAAAGGGAACTTTAAAATGACTGTTCATGATTTTGGGAACCTCTTAGCTGCATCTAAGAGGCTGAAAAGTGTCAGTACCACCCTCACACTTATGATGCATGCAACTCTTCTGTCTAGTGTGAAACTGTGTAAAAACGGCAAATGCAGTTATCCTCTTACCACAGGAACAGTAACTGGCTGTTTGGACATTCCCCCATACGTCACCATTGACCCTCCGATTCTGAAATAAATGGAAGAAATCTGGGTTGGGGTACATAGAGTTGGGGTTTTCCCTGCTCTCTACAGTGCAACTACATTGTATAATACTAATAGAGATTATTAAGTATGCTCACTGTAGATGACGGAGAAGTTCTGTTGCACTCTTGCCTCCAACTCCATTTAATGCTAGTTTGGGCTTCGGACAAGTCTATAAAATATATTCATAAATTGGATACGTTCATTCACCAGCAGGGACAAACTACAAGATCATATCTCTACAGACCTTAAAGAGTTCTTTAATCTCATGCTTCCTCAAGGCCTCTTCTTTGATTACATGACTAGCTCCAATAGCCTTCAGCTTATCACTGAGCTCTGTGAACTCTGGCCTGAAAGTGAAGGCACATTGAAGAATTTTATTACAAAGATGGAAAATCCCCATAGGGTTCAAGAAATTTGCCCTAGTCTTCAAAAAAGAAAATCGATATTGTAAAAAAAGCATTAATATGAAAGAATTGAGTTCACCTGTCTCTTATAACATTAATAGTGTTTATTCCCCTTGCAGCAGCAATCTGTATGACAGCCTGTCCAACTCCACTGTTGGCAGCGTTCTGGATCACAGAATCACCTAAAAGGACATCAGAAATGATTGGACAAATGGTAACATGCTGGCCACAAATACTTAAAATGAAATAATGCACCCTCTAATCTGATTTATTTTTTACTTCTAAAATTGGTTCATCTGTCTTGCTGTAAAAGCAAAAATAATTTAAGCTGTGGGAATATAGTACCTCTACACCGCTATGAATAATCCAAGATTTGAAATTTGGTGAGAAGGAAATAATCCACTATGAGTCGATTAGTTACCTGGCTTGAGGTCTTCAAAGTCGGAGAGCATCCTGAAAGCGGTGCAGGGATTCACCCCGAGTGTGGCAGCAGACACCAGTGGAATGTCATTTGGTACAGAGATAACATCTTCCTCAGGTAGCACTGCATGTGTCCTCCATGTGCCTGATCACAGAGGGAAACAGTCTACAAAGCACTATAAAATGTTTTTTTTATTTTCAAATTCACACACCGTGCAAGGTGCTGTCCCGCCACTTAGAGCTCAATGTTTACCAGAGATAGACTTTAGCATGCAGTGGGGGCCAGAGATTGTGATTAGTTAAAGGCTCAGAGGAGGAGGTCCACCTTCAGCTGGGAGCTAAAGTGGCACTCTGAAGATTTCATTTTGAGAACTGTGGAGTCCTTACCTAAACCAGCATCTTTCGGGATCACCCAGTCTCCTATCTTGAGGGACTTCACTTGGCTGCCCACCTCTACAACCTGGGCCACACCTTCATTGCCACCAACAGCTGGGAGATCCGGCAGGATAGCATAAGTACCTGAAAAAAACCCCATCAGAGAATGACCTGATCATGATGCCACACATTAAACTGCCCTGATGAATGACTGTTACTACCTGCTTACAAGTACCTTGAATCATGTTTATGTCTGATGGGTTGATTGGGGCAGCCAGCACTTTAACCAAGACATCCTTTGCACCTAAGGAAGGAAGCTCTACACCCTCCAACCTGCCAAAAATACATTTTGCACAATCAGTCACTATTCATGTAAGCTTGCATGACATGTTGTCTTATGTTAGGTGGCAGGCTTTATAAATACAGATAGACTAAAAGCCCAAGACACAGTTCATCTCTACTGGTGTCCATAATAAATTAGTTAATTAGTCAACAGTAACAAAATCACCAAAACTGGGCCTTTGCTCAATGGATAGAATAGAAAATAGAGATGATGCCTTTATTACATTACATACAAGTATGATACAACGAGATTGGGAGTGCCACTCGAGCCTGGGAGGAAGTGTAAGGCTACGTGCTTGGGAGGAAGTGTACGTGCTTGCATTAATATAGAAACAAACACACCATGAAAAAGAAATAAACAATAAGCACACCACACAGAGCCACTTATAGATCATATAAAATAGACAGCTGGATATAGGAGTGAGCAGGCACTGCACAGGAAGACAGACTTCTTAAAGACTGTGAGACCCAAGGGTCCTACATTTTTCTGCCAAGTCAAAAGTGTTAGAAAGACAGGGAAGACAGATGATTACAAATCCTCAGGATAAGAAAAGGGGAAATGAGGCTCTAGATATTCTAGAAGTGAAATCAGGAATGCGTTGCTATCGAGCCACGTTTAACATCTTTACATAGAGACATAAATGTTTTCCTCCTGTTTTTGTCACTCCATACCGGTGAGCGGCGGTAACGCAGCGACTCGTTGTTTGTTTCCCGCCACAAATTTCAAGAAAGAAGAAGAAGAGTCGAGGACTCACAAAGGTGAGACTGAGGTTTACAATAATAGGTTGTATATCTTTTATAAGACAAAACACCTGAGCTTTACACCGGAACTGTGGGAGCATGTCCTGAGCGAGGCTAGCCACATTTTAACCGTAACCGTTTCACTCCCACAGTCACAGAAACATACGCACACTTATTGTTTAGCCAGATATTCTTACTGAACGACTCGGGAAGGGTCTCCGTGGGTTCTGTACACAAGTGCCTTGCATGTTTGTGCGGAGAGTCCGGCTGAATGGCTGAAGTGGGAAACGCTAGCGTCTCTGTGCCTGAAACACTGTGAAACAGCTGCAGCGACGCTTCGTCTGCAAACTCTCTGGCTTCTTAGACAGACTGCGTAGAGTGGCACCCACATTTCTACTCGGGACAAAGCTGTAAAGTATTAAAACAACCCGACTATTTAATAATATTAGTAGTTTAAAGCCAGACTTGAGCTTGCACTCTTCATACTACGGCCATATTGGACTGTAATCGTCAGGTTGTGTCATTGAAAATGTAAACACAGAGCTGCCCCCTGCTGGATGAGAGATGAACTCCGCGTTTCTCCACACGGTCAGAAGGTCCTTTTTTGGATGAAATAAATATGAGGAACTGGTTGTTGTTGTTTTTCAGTATTTCACTTCAGGGAAATGTCAAAAATACACGAGACATGCGGGATTACAACAATACTGTGATGTAACGTGCTCAAGTTCCACAGAATTTCTTAGCCTACTTAAATATATTTACTGAGCTCTCTTCTAGGTACACTTTGCTAGTACTGAGTTTGACTCTCTTTTCCCTTAGGAACATCCACCCATCTTCTGATTGCTGTTTCAGGCAAGATAATGCACAATGTGATAAAGCTCAAATCATCTCAGACTGCTTTCCTCCACTTGTCCTCCACACTCACAAGGTTTCAGTTCCATAAAGCACTTTTGGGATGTGGTTGAATGGAAAAGTTGAGTCATGGATGTGCAATATCTCTGTGGTGCTATGATGTCATTGTGATGTCAGTAAAATGTTTTCACTACCTTGTTGAATCAGTGCCACAAAGAATTAAGGCAGTTCTGAAGGAAATAGGGTGTCCAACCTTGTATTGCAAGGTGCAATTAATCAGTGCTAAGGTTGCTTCAGGATTCAGCATTGCATCTTGGTACCTCACTACCAATGGGAATCTGTGGACCATTTACCAATCAGAATATTGTGGATTCCTCCAGTGCTGAAGCATCTTTGGGAAAGTTCCTGAACATGAGTTACATTCATCAGGCAAGTGTGTGTGAATCTGAGCAAACACCTAGGCATAGATAAAAGTGAATAAATGTGAGAATAAGACTTGTAGTAGAAAGCACTTTAAGCACTCTACTGAGTAGAAAGGTGATATTTAAGTACCAACTAATTTAATTCTGTCAATGGAAAACTCTTTCATGTATGGGAAAACCTTTAGACTGTGCTTCTGGTACTTTTTCTAAGTTTTGTTAATACTTTAGTGAGTGTGATAAGTCTTGTGACTGGGTGATTGGAGTAAGAAGGC